TTGGCAGACTATAAGTAACTTACTTTGGAATTTCAATTATTTCCTTAATATTTGCTACCGGTTTTTGCCCAAGCCAAAACTTCCAAGCCATGGCTCATGCCATTTTGCTTTTTTGTTAGTTTTTTTTTTTAATGAAACGTATTTCTTGCCTCCTTACAAAGATAAACAAAAGCTAGTTGTTATGTACCCTGCTTGTGTTAGCGTGTTAGCTTATCATTTTGGTATTCTAAAAAAGGTAACTGTAGGGCCATGCACTGTGAACCAAAATGGCTGTAAATAACCATAAAATTTAAAGCCAGAATTTACCACAACATATGGTTTCTCATTGAGATTTGATGTGGATTCTTAAAACTGATTTCTTGTATTATCAAGCTGCTTTCCGAGGTTCCCTGCTGGTCCACCTACTTGGTTATATAATTAACTTCAGCTGTCAGAAGCGTCTGCTAGCTTTCGGCTGTACCTTTAGGAAAATATGAGGTGGTTCTTTGAAATCCATGTGTGTTGAGGGAACAATGACTCTCAAGTACCTTTGGTGCCTTCCCCCACTAGGATGAAAACGTATGTCCTGGATAGCCCCTGGCAATTCTGTTCTCATTCACCCAGATCGGAGGTTCAAAAAAAATACAGCCAGTGCCATGTGCATACTTACTAAGCAGGGAACACAGAACAGGTTTCTATTGCTGATGAAGTTAACGCTGTTTTAGCATGATTCTCAACTAACCCAGATGATATCAGTCTTCATTTTAAATTCATGCTAATAATATCCTCTTTAAATATTGCATCTGGGAGGCTTAGAATTTTGCACATATACTTATTTAAGCGTCCACCAAATGGGTAAGGAAACATGGCATAAATGCATGATGGGGAGCTTTATTCAGCTGTAAAGAACAGTGAGATATCATTGTTTCCTGGAAAATGGATGAAGTGGGAAATCAGTATTTTAAGGAAGAAAATCCAGATTTAGAGGGACAAACATTAAATGTTTCTTTTCAGTTGTGGATCCTAAATTTTGTATAGAAACATACATCATAAAATATATACATATACATATATATGTATGTATATGTATATATGTCTTCATATATATATATATATATGGCATGAAGACAGAAGGGAGGTTGGGAAGGAATTGAGGCCAATGGGAGTGAGGGAAACGAAGTGGTAGAGAGGGTGCGGGGGTGGGCTATTCTCAAAGTACATTATACACTTGAAAGAAATTACCTTGGTGAAATTCAGCGCTACATTCAAAGAAGACGTGCCAGTGAGAATTCCATAGGAAGAAGGTTGCTAATGAGATTATATTGACCCTGTGATAATAAACCCAAGCAGAGACATTGTGGACATTAAAATGCAGGTGGACGAAAATTCAAATGGATACATTAGCTCTGCGCTTTGAAACTCTTCTTTGGATTATGGGATATTTCAGAGAATTAAAATTTTCCATACTAATGAGATGATGGTTGCATGTTCAAAAATCTATTTAGAGAAGAGCTTAAAATTAAGATTAAGGTTTTCATGTATAGTTTTTGCTCTGTCACGATAACACCGGATGCAGATTAGCTCTGCACTAATTGGGTTTAATGAGTATCAACAAAAACAACATGGTGTTGAAGTTGGAAGGGGGACATGTTGGGGGTTTGGGGGTAGTTTGAGGAGGGAAAAGGGAGCAGACATGATCGTATGTCATACACACCTGCCGTGAAATTCTTAAGAATAAAGAAAATTATGATAAAAATAAAAATAAGTAAAGAACATACTGTGTGTGATATAAAACAGAAAGGGGACCAGAAGGGGGCAGCAGTGGATGGGGAAGGGAAGCAGAAGAGAATCAACGAAAATGTCAAAATGAAGCCCAGTACTTCATAGGCTAATAAAAAAAAGCAAACCCTTATCAGATAGATGATGAGGAGGAGGGAGCAGGGGGAGAAAGGAAAAGAAAACAACAAAATAGAAAAAACTGAACCCACAGATTTTCATTCTTTCCAGAGGGTTTTGTTTCAAACGTTTTACCGTCACAATAAGGTTCTTTTTCCTTAAGAAGTCTTTTCTTTTACAGTTTTAGTTAGTGGATAGCATGTTAGATAGCCTGTGGTTTTCCTGCCCCCCTATTTATCCCTCCATCCTTGTCCAGCCTTGGTTGCCGCCTCTGGCTTTTCCTTTTTCATGTCTCATGGATCCTTTCATCCACTCTCCATACCTCCTCATCATCCCACATTACTCTCCCCTGGTCTCCTTTCTCGATATTTAGACTTCACCCGTACTTATATCTGTTTACATACATAGGTATACATAACAGGATGTGATCAACATATGAGGGAAGACACTTCTTTCTTTCTTAGTTTGGGTCATCTCATAATATACTTTTCAGTGCTATCGATTTTCTTGAAAAATCTCAATTTTTCTTCGCAGTTAAATAATATTCCATTGTACATATGTACCACGTGAGCTGTTGCTAGACATCTGGGCTGGTTCCATTTACTTACTGTCATGACTAGAACAGTAATAAACATAGATGGGTGTGGGTCTACGGTAGGATATGGAGTCCTTCAGGCATATGCTCAGGAGTGGAGTAGCTGGGATACATAGGAGTATTTTTAAATTCCATTGGTTGTACAGAATAGTGTGATAGGGCTAGTGACAACTCAAAATGGGTACCTTGACTTCTGCTCCAAAGCAAGAAGCTTCCATGGTTGGAGAAGGGGATAGCTCATGGTGAAGAACCAGAGGCTAGATGGATGCGAACTTGCTATGCACCCAGTATACGACTTGGGCAAGGTCAGCAATGTCAACGAACCTCAAACTTCTCATTTGCAAATGACCCTTGAGGAAATCACGTGACTTAAATGAGGTAATGCCAGTCAAGGGATCACTGTGGTTTCTATCACAAGGTAAGTCACTCAAGTCGTAACAATAACACTCACTGTTGGTATGATAGTTTCTGCCTGCCAGTCAGCATACTTTTCCTCAGTAGAAGGGACAAGGAAATATTTGCCTTTGGGTCTCAGCATTGCATCAGACTTACATGAGGAAGAGGTGTGGCAAGAACAACATACAACTGAGTCTCTGTCTCCTCAGTCACTATCACCAGTGCCTGCTAATTCCATCCTGCTGGATTTCTCTTGGTCTATCCCATTCTCTCTGTGTGCAGAAGTCTCCAGTCCTTTGGAACTATTAGCAGACTTACAATGCAGCATGCTTTTAGAATCACACCAATGAGCTGCCTTGCTGATGCCACCGAAGTTTAATAGATAACAATCACTCTTCTGGAACAGGCTGTTGCTTGTATGGCAGGATGTTCATGAAATAGTTGGAGTATCTATGTGAGAAGAAACTGAAGTGCCAGGATACTTTGAGGTATCTACCCTTCCACAGGAGAACACTGTCCTTAATCTAGTAGGGTACATACTTCAGAATGCTCATGAGAGTATAGGATGACTAAATATTGATTTTGGGGTGGGGTGTTATTCCTTACTGAAGACCATACTTCTCTTAGTACAGTGCATGACAACACTTTAAAACAGCAAGAAAAGAAGGGCAGCTTTTGGTGATGGGAAACCCTGTGTGGAGCCCATGTGTATGAAGGGAGTCTTGCATCCGTGGGGTTGCTGATTCTCCAGTCCTGGAGCCCACCCTGTGCTTGGGTTTTTACATGTCTCCTTTCTGTCTCAGTTTTCTCCCTTAGGATTCTCTGAGAATAAAAAGCAATGGCTTAAAGGAGGCAACCCATTTGGATCTTTCCTTTTTCTATATGAAGAAGTTGAGATCTAGAAAAAGTGATTCTATCCTTAAAAGCCTGAGCTAATCAATGCCTAAGCAGGTCACAGAACCCAGCATTCCAGCTCCTGTTTCCTCTCACAGTGTGCAGCCTCCTCATTTGGCTTAATCTGTCTCCTCCAGGAATAAAGAGAGATCAAGTAGGTCCCTTCCCCCCATGACACTGTGAGACTTCCATGTCTACAGAATGGAAACAGGAACACAGACATCAGTGGGGACAGTACTGAGGCCACCCACATACATGAACTTCTGGAAAACCTGAGCTATCCTGGGTAAGAAAGTGGTCAGTGGTTTCACCTAGGTCCCAGCCAACCTCCTGACTCTCATGATCATAACCTATAGCCTTGGTTTGGATGTGAGAATCCTGTGAAGAGCCATGGCCCCTTTTCTTCCCCAGAGTCACCGGTCACTTCTCCCGAGTACTCAACCAGAATGATCTCAGGCCATATGGTTTTCCAGTCAAACTGTTGAATCCTTGAAGCAAAGACTCTGGTGCCAGGGTCCCTCACAATAGCAAAGGCCTCCTGCCAAAGCACGAAGGAGGAGAGCGTGGCAGGCCAGATACAGTACTCTGTGCTCCTTTCCCATCATGCATCCTGAATCTGTGTCCAGCAAAGATTTTCCTGCTCATGCAGAAGAGGATGCTCCCAGTGAACTGACACCAGGACCTGCATTTTAAGTGTCGTCCACACCTTCTGATATAGGTGACATCTATGCATCAAGGTCATGTTCAGAATCTACCAGGAGGCTGGCACCATGGTGCATGCATAATTAGCAGTCCTTCCCTTTAGGAATTCATGCTTGGAACAGCAGTAGCTGTGCTGGCAGTTGGATATAATGTAACAATGTGATAGAGAAGAGATAGTAGCACCAAAGGTAATTTAATGACAACCGGGTGAGAAAGTTGAATTCAGGTGCAAATGAGGGAACATCTACATTTACTTTTTTCTCACATCAACAAATTTTGGAGGTGGATGGTTCCAGATATCTGGTGTCTGTACAGTCAATGGGATTCAGGGTAAAGAGCAGCATGCCTCTCTTTAAGGACACTTCTTAGAGCACAGCACTTCTGCCTACACCCTGCCCACCACAGCTTAGCCACAGTGACATGTAGCTGCAAAGGAGTCGGGAAGGACTAGAGGCTTGCTAAGTTGAAATTAAGGACAGTTGTTGGGTGGATAATGTGGTTTTGTTGTTGTTTTTGTTGTTGTTCTGTTTTTCTCCAGGTTCAGAAGTTCGGGCTAGGGAGAGAAAAGAACATATCTGCAAGCTTTCCTGAGGAGAGAACATTTAAACTGAGTCTCAGAAGAAGGGCAGGATCTTGAGTGGAGAATCAGAAATCTGTAAGTAATAAACCCAGTGATTGCTTCGGAGCTTGCTGGCCCTGTAAGGAGAGCAGCTGCTCACAGTAGATTTCTATGTTGCAGATCAAGGAATTAAAAGAAATGTTACACAGTGTCACCACTGTGTGAGCTACTTTTATCTAGCCACATACATCTTGCTGCTAAAGTCTTGATTATCACATCAAGCCCACAGAAGTGAGACATAATTAGGAAATAGATCCATTGCAACATCGCCAATGTACATTAAATAGGATAATCACTTGTTCAATGAGGAAAGAGATTCAGAAGGTTAATTAATCTTGGATTCTGACTATGACAAGTAATGCGTGTAAAGCAGTCATCTCTGAGACCACTCACACACACATTCACTTACTAATAAGCGTCATCACAGCATAACATCCTGCATAAAACCATAAAGTGCTTAGTTCTGAAGCAGAGATGCCCACAGCCCATGATAGATGGAGAGCAGAGACATAGCAACAACAGAATGCCATCCCTATACACTCACTAAATCACTGGGTGTGTGCCTCAGAATGTGACACACATGGACTTGATCTTACAATTACACCTCGACCCAGTTTTTCATTATCTCCCTATTTTTCAGATGAGAAATTGAGGCACGGGGAAGTTCAATAGTTTGCTCTGAGCTTTGTAAGTAAAACACAAGGAAGCACAGATAGGAAGTCAAATTAATCGTGGGAAAGAACATAGCACAGAATAGGCTCCCAGTTCTATGGCTAACCAGAGCTGGACCCTTGGGGAAATCATTTTGTCCCTACGTCTCAGCTTTTCATAGTTACTATGACCAACTAAGGAGCTGTGTGTATAAGATGCTTAGTCTGGGGCCCGGGAAAGGTAAATGATCAATAGTTAAAGGCTTAGCAAGGCTAAGTCATTAGTTGTCAACACTATCTGGTATCTGGTACTTAACCAAACACATCAAATGGAAGACTAAAAGCTATTTATGACGTGGCATTACATTTTCCCATTCTTCTACCCATTTACCCCAATCCCTTGAGGTCTGTCTCTGTGAGTTGTCAAGGATGAGCTGCTTTGTACGGCCATCTGCCACTGTGCTGTGTGACAACAAGCCACATCTTCCTGAAAATGTTTACAAATGCTTCTTACATTACTGCAGTATATTTTTTCATTAAGCCGTGGCATCTCCATTGAAAAATTATTTTAATCTTCTCAAACTGAATTATACAAGGAGGAAGCATGGACAGATAGTACTTAAAGGCTCAATGTACATTAATTGCCTCAGCTAATGAAAGAAACATGACTTAGCCAATGCACACAACATGAATCCTAAGATGCACGGACAATTGAGTGTGGTAATAAAACAAGTATTAGAGTGTTAAATCCCAAACCCTCATTATGCCTCATGCAGCAAAACCAACCATGTACCTGCTGTTCTGAAAGCATTTCCTCCTCTTGACACTGAGAGTTAATTATAGAGCCAGGCTTTGAGTAATCTCATGTGATGTGTGATTGGGGACCTTCAAAAACCCTGCAAAATTATATCAGGTAACTCCTCTATTTTTTAAGCTGATAAAAGTACATTGGTCAAACTGATTTTTAGTTTGCCTTGATGTTCCATAGGCAATTTTAATTAAGACATGAATTATTTATATATACACACACTTTATTTCACTTCCATGAGATCTTGCTTTGTCTCCCTTGGCTCTGTAAACTGGTGAATTATTAACTCAAGGCTAATTTGTATCCCTGTGCTTAAGAGGCTACGCATCGATTTCTTTTGTCTTTTCACTTCATGAACCCTGAAGTAAAGATGATAAAGTCATGATGTTTAAGAGATACGAAGGGGAGTCTTGCTCTCACTGCTCAGTGAGAATCTCAGAACACACAGATGAGAGTTAAGGAGAGAAGAGACATGGGGACCCACAGCCTTCCCTTCAGAAATCACAAGCAGGTCCCTATCAGTGGTAGGGCCACACAATGAGTGTGATGCATTGTAAGCCCCACCCTCACCCCCTTGTAGATGCTCCAAGGGCATGAGTGACAACAAGAGAATAAATAATTGTCTCTAACAGTGGGCTTATTCAAAAGTAATTGCCTTTCTAGATTAAAAAAAATTCTATATTTTCTGGAAGACAGACGTGGGAAGCTAATTGTTGACTCTGTATGCCAGTGCACAAGTGTGTGTGTGTTCTCATATGTGTGCACCTGCACATGGAGACCAACTGGAAACCTTGTCTGTCATCCTTAGCTACCATCCACCTTGTTTTGAGACAGGGTCTCTCAATGACCTAGAGTTCAGAAGTAGGCTAAGCTGGCTGGGCTGCAGGAATCTGCCTGTCTCTGCTTCCCCAGCACTGGGATCACAATCACTCACCATTTTCTTCTTAAAGTGGCTTCTAGGTGATTAGACACAGACCCTCGTGCTTGTAAGGTAAGCGCTTTATTTGGTGAGCTATTTCCCTACCCCAGTTGCTGTCCTTTTTGTGCATGGGTGTGTTTTACTTTATATATAGTATAATTAATTATCCCTCAATAAATCCTGGTTATGTATAAATGCAAATGAATTCCTTTTGTTTGCTTCCCAGATATGTAAATTGACATTTTCCACAACTAGCCTAAGATTTTCAATTGATGTCTTTCAGAATTCTTCTTCTTCTTCTTCTTCTTCTTCTTCTTCTTCTTCTTCTTCTTCTTCTTCTTCTTCTTCTTCTTCTTCTTCTCCTTCTCCTTCTCCTCCTCCTCCTCCTCCTCCTCCTCCTCCTCCTCCTCCTCCTCCTTCTCCTTCTCCTTCTCCCTCTCCTTCTACTCCTCCTCCTCCTCCTCCTCCTCCTCCTCCTCCTCTTCCTCCTCCTCCTTCTTCTTCAAGGTTGATTAAAATGTTCTTTTTTTTTTAAAAAAAAAGGTTGATTAAAACGTTCTTTCCATTGGTTGGAGAGGTGGCTCAGTGTGTAAGAGCACTTGGTGCAATTTCAGAGCAATGGAGTTCAGTTCTTGTACTCATGTCATGTGGATCACAACCACCTGTAAGTCCTGTCCAAGGAGATTCTACACCCTCTCTGTCTTCCATGGGCACCTGTACACATGTGTGTGCCACACATGCACTCACACATACAAATACACATGAATAAAAATAAAATGAAATAAACCTGCTTTGGGAAAGACTCTTTAACTGGCAATGTTTCAAGAGCTCATTATAGAGCAGTTTCTAGGTGAATTAAAAAATGTATCTGCTTTTAAATAAAAATTCTATGTCAACTGGCATGTGTATAGTTGTGGGAGCCCGTTTTCAGGTTCCTTGTGGCTTGACCCAGCAGGTCCGCATAGAGAGGACGATTAGGACCATGGGCCTGAGTGCAGGTGTCTGAGATGGTCTGCACTTGGCTGTGCTGGGAGAGGAGGTCTTTTGCTCCACCCCTTGGCGTCTCTATAAAAACCCTGGGGCAGAGACAGTCAGGGCTCGTTGGAATAGGTTCCAGGCCCTCTCGAGGCTATCCTTTATTTTCTGTTTATCTACACAATCTAAATCCTTCTATCTAATATTTCCTGCTGCTCACATTCAAGAAAACTCTGGGGAACTGTGGGGTTGGTGGGTAAACGTCCCACATATAGTGCTTTGCACATTTTAGTTTTCCTTTTTTTTATTTTTTTCTTTCTTTCTCTTTCTCCTTTTGGTCAGTTTGTTTAAAGGTACTGCTTGGAAGCTAAGTCAGCCAAGGCCATTCTTCAACAGATGTTATAAGTTGAAACTCCAGGATCTTAGCGATGTTTAGGGGCATTTTACATTGGGGCTGGGCACAGGGAAGGTGTTAATGAGGAGAGTAACACCAGTAACAGGTCATGTCTTTATCCTATGCAACACATCCAGGCTCATCTCAACCTGGCTTATGCCCGAGAAGACTTTCATATATCTGATCTTTAGAACGGATCTCCGGCAAGATTCATGGCATCCCCTGTGGGCCTTGGGCATCTCCATCTTGTATTTCCCAAAGGAATCTGAGACAGGTTACTCGGGAACAATATAGAGCCTGGCAAGAGGTCAAGAGGTGTTGATCTTCCCAGATTAAACCACTTTACTCATTATCTGTCATTCAGACTTGTCCCAAATCTAAGCCTTCATCAACTTGGAGCTTGTTCAGGGATATCTATATCTATATCATCTATATAGCCAACGTAAGTCTAGAAAGATAAAAGTGACCATAGGGTGAGAGTAGAGTATTAGGAAGAGTGAGTACAAGAACCACAGTTATCATAAGGTCTGGGGATGAGTGTCAGTGCTGACACCCAGGCAGTAAGGAAGCTGGCGGCAAGTAAAATTGGCCATTGTGTGTGTGTGTGTGTGTGTGTGTGTGTGTGTGTGTGTGTGTGTGTGTGTGTGTCTGTAGTGAGGGGTCAAAGAGCCGTGATGCTGGAAGGAAGTTGGTGAAAACACAAATAAGAGGCTAAAAGTTTACAGGATTTGCAAGACCATTTTGGTCTTTGGAAGCATAGACTATAATGGATTGGCTGAGCAACAAAGAAAAGACTAATGGCTTGGAAGGCTGGGTTTCAGAGTTTTCAATTTTTAATTGAAAACTTCATCCATATGTGTGTCATAGACTTTGATCATATTTTCCTTCCCACTTCCGCTGAACCCCTTCTTCTTTTAGGAAGACGAGGATGGATCACCCAGCTGATTGTGCAAGCCCACCATGCCTCAGGCTGTCTGTGGAGAGAGCAAAAACACCCCTCTCCTCCAGCAATAAGGTCGCATGATCTATGACTTCATTTTCAGTGGAGGCTAAGGAGAGGCAGGGCTTCCTCTAGGCACTTTAGAATGGTTAGATTATGGTAAGTTTTTATTTTGATAAAAATTTAAATTTACAGCCAAGTGACAAGAATAGTTTAAGAAATTATCTTACACTTCACCCAGACTCACCAATAATAATTCTCTCTTACCCATTTGCTTAACCTCTTCTCTTTCTCTCTCTCACAAACTATTTATTACCAAGTATTTCAGGGTAAATTTGAGGTCTTAGACATCTTTCCTTGCATGTATTTCAGTGTCTAGTTTGAGGGAACTGCATCCTTATATCTCACATTAAGATGATTGACATTGAACACTGACATAGTAATCAATAGGCCATGTCTTTACGGGTTTCCTTTCCCAGTGTAGGCTCCAATTCAAACTCACAGGATACCTTTTCTTGTCTCTGTAACTTTAAGTATTACCTCTTTTTAACCAGCTCTTTAATTTCCCTATGTTCCCTTGACCTTGACAGCGAGGAAGAGCACAAGCCAGTTTTTCTGTAGAACGTCCCTCAGTTTGGATGACCTAATGTTTCTTTATGGTTTGATTATGGCTGGAAGAAGAGCTGAGATTGAGTTGGGTCCCCTTCAATGTACTGTGGGAGGTGGAGCCATATGGCTTTGTTCCCATGTGGGTTATATGTTTAATGCTGTTGACCTTAAGAGGGTTTACCAGTCTCCATCACTGTATGGGTGCTAATTTTCCCTTTGTAATTAACAAGTGTTTTGTGGGATATACTTTCAGGCTAAGTAAACCACATTTTCCTTATCACACTTTCCTTCTGTACCCTGAGCATCCATAGATGATTTTTCTCATCCATCTTTGCTTTTGTGTTCTTACATTCCATCTATATTTCTTCCAGGAAGGCTGCCTGGCTTCTCCATCCTTTCATCCATCCGCTTATATCAGTGTGGCTCATGGATTCGTTTTGGAGGCTGGGTACTAGTCCACCACTGTCCTCATTTATTGGGAGGCTTCAGTGAATCCCTTCCAACTTAGTTCGTCCTCCTGGTTTGAATTCTCCCTTGCTTTCTTTAGAAGCACACTACTCCAGGATGTTTTCATTTCCTCTAATCCAGCTGCAGAATGTGCCTTGTGTCCAGGAATCACCAGTCCACACAGTACAAACCTATCTGTATTTGAATTACTACCAGAGTACAGTTATTTCTATATATCTGCCATAGGCAGCCTAGGATAAATATATTACCATAGCTATCATTTTCTCTCCATCTTTTAACCATGATGAGTTCATGTTCTTTGTGGTGGAGTATGCCTTTTTCTCTGCTTTCACATCTATAAACTCTAATCTTCAGTACCAAGAGTGCTAGCCCAGAATGTGTGTGCCTATTTAGAAGCAAAAAATAAGCTGTTTTCTGGGGTGGAGGTTTGAGGGGGTGAGGGAGGACCTTGAGGAGGAATATGTGACATCCAGGTGGAGACAGGTCTGAAGCTGAGTCATTCCTACCAAGTAGAAACTGCTCTTAACTTGCTGCAGTTTCCTAACTGGTGGAACTGATGAGAAGGTTGCAGTTGTGGGGTCTGCATGGGATTAGGGGTTTTATTCATTATTATCATGTGGGTGTGTGTATACAATGTGCAGATGTGTGAGTGTGCCTGTGCATGCAGGTGTGTATGCAATGTGTAAGTGTGAATGTCCCTGTGCATGTAGGTGTGTGAGTGTTCTTGTATATGCATGTGTCTATACAATATGCAGATGTATGAGTGTGTTCCTGTGCAAGCAGGTGTGTGTATCCCTGTACATGTAGGTGTGTGGGTGTTGGTAAGTGAAAGTTTCTCAGTCCTGCCCCATCCTGCCCGGGTATGGTGATATTTTATTTGTGCTGAAATGTGCTGATATTTTATTTGTATGTTAGTAAATAAAGTTTGTCTGGAGATCAGAGGAAATAGCAAGGCATTTTAAGGAAACACAAAAGTCAAGCAAAGGTAGCACACGCCCTTAATCCTATCACTTAGCAAGCAGGGTCTCTGTGTGTTCAAGGCCACACTAGGGAACAGAGCCAAGTGTGGTGACACACACCTTTAATCCCAGTACCAACCATGGAGACCTGGAGGTCTGTACAGACAGGCAGTGACAAGGAAGTCAGGTAGCTGGGCTAAGAGCCAATGAGAGGGCAGAACAGCAAGGCAATAAAAGCCTGGGTAGACAGGAAGTAGCTCACCTTTGGAAGCTGCGGTATGGTGAGGTAAGGTTAGCTGGTGGCTCTCACTATTACCCTGATCTCTAAGGCTTTCACCCTTATATTTGGCTCTGTGTTTTTTATTTAATAAGACCTCTTAGAAATTTGTCTACACCTGGGCAGCAGCTGTTTTTTTTTTATAAAATAATCACTCAGAAGCTTAATATTAATTACAAACTGTTTGGTCTATGGCTCAGGCTTATTACTAGCTAGCTCTTACATCTTAAATTGACCCCCCCATTTCAATTAATCTATATTTTGCCATGTGGCCATGCCATTCCTGGTCTGCTGACATCTTGTTCCTTGAGTGCCTGGATGGCCTCTGCCCACCTCTGCCTTTCTTCTCTCTGTATCTCTCTTGGATTTCCCACCTGGCCATTTTCTTGCCATAGGCCAGAGCAGCTTCTTTATTAACCAGCAACACATAGTCACAGTGTACGAACACATAGTCACAGTGTACGGAAAGACCATCCCACAACAGGTATTCCTATATATGCAGGTGTGTAACAATGTGAAGGTGTGTGAGTGTGTCCCTATACATGTAGGGGTGTGAGTATTCCTGTATACGCCAGTGTGTGAGTAGTGTGTTCCTATACACACAAGTGCATGTATACACTGGTGGAGGCCAGAGGTCAGCTTTGGGATAGCTCTTCAGGAGATCTTTAGCCTGGGTTTTCAAACAGGGTCCTTCCCTGGGACTTGGGATTTAGTAGTTAGGTTAAACTGTCTGGCCGGAGAGTTCTGGGGCCCTCCAGGTTCTTCCTCCCCAGTGCTGGGATTACAAGTACATGCCACCATACCAGGCATTTTACATGGGTTCTGGCGATCAAACTCAGGGCCTCATGACTGTATGACAAGCATTTTGCCCACTGAGCCATCTCCTCAGCCAGGATTAAGGATTTTATACTCATCCATATGCCTTTCATTTTCTCAGTGAAGCAGTCCACAGCTCTTTCTCCTTTCTGAAGGATGAGAACGCTACAGCTGCCCTTTCGTCCTCAGTTTGGAGATTTTTGAGATCAGCCTCTCACTGAACTGTTTCTAGCATCCAGGCCTCTAGCAGAGACCATGGGCTTGACGATAAATCCCAGGACACAATGCTCGGAAAACGTCCTTTCTCAATAATTTTCCTCAAGAGTTTGTGTGTCGCGTTAGATGGTAAAGCGTCTTCCAGACTTAATGGCTGAGCTTTTGCTTCCGAATCAATAGGACCATCCTCGCTTGTATCTTCTATAATGGTTCTAATCACAGACTGACTTGAGAAGGCAAGTTTGAGGGCGACTTTGTGGAGTGGGCTGTCTTTTCTTTCTTGTGGTCAGTTAGGGATGTCTGTAACTGCAAAATCAGGAGGCAGTGGCCATGGAGACTGAGCTGCATCTTTTTTAGTATGTGGTAAGAGAAAAACCGTTTGAAAGCCTGGGGGCCATTGGCTCCTTGCTTCTTATTTGTTGGAGAAGGTACATGGAGTATTGGATGAGCGAATTTGCTCCACTTTGGGGCATAATATATTGACAAAGAAAAGTCTCTCTCTTTGAAGACAACAGTAATTGTAGAAAATAATGCTTCATCTTCAACTGCGGCCCAGAGACAGAGGTTGTTCTCAGAGTCACAGGACTCAGAGGAACTTAACACCTTCACAGATGAGACGTCAAGGCCTGGGTCGGTCTCAAGACCCCTTCTGAAGTGACAAAGTCAAGATCTGAAAAGAAGTGTTTTGCTTTCATCTAAAAAGACACAGGGTTAGCTCCTAAGACAATCATTTCAGTGAAGCCTATCTGAGGTGATTTTTTTTTCTCCCGCTCATCTGAAAGGTTTTTGAGCAGGAAGAATCAATAAGTCAGCTGTTGTTTTACACTCCTTCTCTCCTGTGATCTCTTCACTCCCTCCACAAAGTCACTATCATCCGAGTATCTGTCTCTTTCCGTGAGACTTTTGTTATCCAAACCAGCAAATAACGCATCAGAAAACACTCACTGCCCGGCACTCGTTAGAATTACTCCGAGCGAGCCGCGAGTGCAGCTTGACAGAACTGGACTATATTAACACCATACTCTTTCCTTTCGACAAAATTAAAGTCAGACCCAAATCAGCTTCCTGCTGTCGGTTGGCAGGAACTTGGCTTTCGGTCTTTGTGTAGATGGTCCTAAGCCCATTTGGAGCCAAATAGAGAAAAGAATACCAGCCTGAGCACATGTGACCACATGGTGTTGGCAGATCCTGGTCTCTCTGCCTTGATTACCCCTGGAGACCTGGCCAGACAGCCTGAGCACTTCCTCATTGAGATCCTGCTCTGCTGCACAGAGTGGAGGGCACACTCTATGCCTAGCCTGTTTGGGGTAGGGTCGGGGAGCTGTCTTTATATTTCTTGATTTTTTTCTCTCATTTTTCTCTTTAAAAATCCTTTTTTTAAAAAAAGACAAATATAAGTGTGTTTGTGGGGGTAGGGGTGTGTGTGTGTGTGTTCCTACGAGTGCAGTACCCCCAAGAACCAGAGGAGGGCATCTGATCCCCTGGAGCTAGAGTTACAGGTGGCTGAGAGCCACCCAAAATGGAGCTGGGAATCGAACTTGCATCCTCTGTAACTAGTGCATATTCTTAACAGCCCAACCATCTCTCTAGCCCTTCTCACTTTTATTGCTGTGTCATATTTGTGAACTCTCTCTTCCTTTAGCTAGTATGTGGGATTTAGGGAGAGTGGTGGTGGTATGTATGCGGGGCTACTCATCAGTAATATTTAAATTTTAGATTAATAAATAATTAACAATTACCCTATGAATATGCTCTATGCAGTGTTCGGAACATTGTTATACACATAAAAATGTTTAAAAGTTTTTTTCCCTTTTAATACTTAAAATTGAACTCAGGGCCTCGTGCCTCCTGGGTGGGTGACCCGCCATTCAGCTAAGTCCCCAGTCATTTTGACCCTTTTTGTTTTGAGACACATTCTCTCTCACTCATTTGCTCAGGCAGAATGTGAACTTGTCATCCTCCTGCCTCAGCCACTGGAGTTGTTGGAGAGATAGATTTGTGCGACCAGGCCCAGCTAAAGAAATGTTTGTCTAAAATTGAAATTTAACTAGGCATGCTGTATTTTACCTGGAAGCCTTACTCTAAGGCAGTGGTTCTCAACCTTCCTAATGCTGTGACCCTTCAATACAGTTCCTCATGTTGTGGTGACCCCCGACCATACAATTATTTCGTTGCTACTTAATAACTGTAATTTTGCTACTGTTACGAATTGTAATTAAATATCTGATATGTAGGATATCTGATATGCAACCCCAAAGGGGTTGAGATCCACAGGTTGAGAACCACGGCTTTAAAGTATCCCGGTTTTTTTTTTTTTTTTTTTTAAATTTTTTTTTTTTTGGTTTTTCGAGACAGGGTTTCTCTGTGTAGCTTTGCGCCTTTCCTGGAACTCGCTTTGGAGACCAGGCTGGCCTCGAACTCACAGAGATCCGCCTGGCTCTGCCTCCCGAGTGCTGGGATTAAAGGCGTGCGCCACCACCGCCCGGCTATCCCGGTTTTGAAAGAGCCAGGAATGAAAGTTGTGGGTGAGCCTGGGGGTTCTCTGTGACAATATTGATGGAGGTAGAGTGATATTTACAAAGAGAGGTGTGTGTGTGTGGGGGGGCAGAGGGAACATGGCACAGAATGGCATCTGTCTGTCAATAACACTGTCCTCTTTACCCTTGACGTCATTCTCAGCATCATCCAGATTCCAGGCTTCAAGAGAGCCGGGTCATCGGGTAAAGCGACAATCGGGACCTTTTCCTGACTGTGGCTTCAGATGACAAGCTGGACCCAGGAGATGTTGGGGGTCTGCAGGCTGAGTCGGGGAGTAGAAGCAGTGAAGAAACATGAGCCTGGCGCCCTTCATGTCACAGGCTGTATCACTCAGGTGCACACACATTTACTCCTACACATCACATGCACACACACACATGTGTGCACGTGTAAACACAACATACATGTACTCACATGCACGCACATAAATAAGCAGCTACAAATATACACATGTACAAGTGCACACATGTACACATTTCATGCCCACGCTCCATGCTGTTTCTATACATTTGTACATATAGGATGATACGTGTTTAAAACATTATTTGTATTGTTGGCACCCTAATTATAAATCATTGACACTCTCCCAACATTACTTAGATTCTGAATTAAGTGTGAATCTTCAGCCAACTGTGAGCTTGCCACCTAATAAATATTGCTGGTTTGAAAATAATGTAATTTAGAGTGCACTTGTTTTCCGTTTTTATCAGACTCACTAAGACCAGTGTGTGTGTGTGTGCATGTGTGTGTGTGTGTGTGTGTGTGTGTGTGTGTGTGTGTGTGTGTGAATTTACATACACCTTTATCCTTTTGGATCACACATGACTCCTTTTGGAGTAAACGTGTATACACATGTGTGTGCATATATGAGCATGTCCTATGCCTCCGCCACACAGCTGGTTTTGACAAGTGCAACCATAATCCTTGCGGATACCTGGAGCTGGTTGGTGTGGCTGATGATGATGGACCCGAGGGCCTGCTGAATGATTGCCTGCCAAGTACTAAGGATCCTTTCCTGAAACTCCTGCTCACCTGGCATTTCCTTCACATCACAGATAATAAAGGAGGTTGAGTGGCTTCCCTCAGGTCACCTTTGACCTCCAAGTGACCAAGCTGGAATGTCCACCTGGAAATTTCACCGACTCTCCAAGGAGGTGTCAAATGTAAGCATTAGGAACCAGAATGCTGGGTCCGGCTTCATTCTGTGCCTGTTGCTCTTGAGCTCTTTGTGGTGGTTACAATGAGAAGTGTCCCGCGTAGACCTGGGCATTTGAACACTTGGTCCCCGGCTGATGGCCAAATTTGGGAGGTTTGGGAGGTGTGGCTGTGTTGGTTTAAGTCACTGGACACAATCTTTGGGAGCTTAAAGACTTTTGCCTTCTCTGTTTCCTTCTTGCAGTTCAAACTCTGAGCTCTCAGCTTCTGCTCCAGCCCAAAGAAACCCTTCCCTCTCTGAGTAGCCTCGATCATGGTATTTTATCACAATAGAACAGTAACCAAGACACTGGGTATTGGATATTTATACATTCATCTATGCAATCTTGCGACGTGTGTTTTTCAGATACTATATATATGTAATTACACTTCAGACAAGGTGCATTTTCCACCCACTGTATACTCTAGTCCATGGTGGTCATTGCTGGAACTATTCTATACTTTGCCATGGGATTCAAGCCCAGGCCATTACGGTACATGGAGAGGCCAGCTTATCATCAATGTGTCCACAGGCTGCTGGCTCAAGTTTGGTGGTGATTATTCTCACTCTTCTTTCTCCATTGCTTGTGGCTGTGGATAGGCTACCTCAGGGCAACTGAGCACAGGAGACTTAGCCATGTTTTTCCCCAAATGCTTCTTGGGTTTCAGAGAGCAAGCAAGTATGCTATTTTTCTTATTTAGGATCGCCTGGAAACCCGCTGATGTTAAGGTGGCTTTTCATATAAAATGACTTCATTCGAAACCATACAAGTTTTTTTTTTTTGGTTTCGAATGGTTTTTCTTTCTCGGAGGTGGAAGTTGCTTGAGCCCGGTATCCAATCCACCTCTGGGTGTCTCTTGCCACTGCCTGAGTAAGGGGTTTTCCACCCCTGAATGAGGTCATAAAGATGCAATTATTCTTCTCCATAGAGCCAGCTCTACCGGGCTCATTTACAAAGTCACTCAGCCGTGACTTGGCCACTTACGTAGCTCTATTGCCTAAAGATATTTCTTGCTCCAGCCATTTGCCCCCCAAGAACCACATTCATGTTACAGAGAAATACAAACGCAGGTGCGTTCTGCATCAGCAGTGTTACAGAGCTGTTTTGTTAGGTGTAAATTATATCTGGTCTTGTGAGGAGGAGAGGAGAGGAGCCTGGATGATTTATATTCTATGAAAGAATTTTATAAAGAACATTAGCCTCTAGTAATGCCCAGATTCCTGATTTTACATATTTAAGCTATGTATTTGGATATGATTTGAGCAGTCCAGGGTATTAACAGTGTTTACAAAGGAAACTGTCAGAAATGGATTCAGGGAGCCTTTAAACTAATAATGTTTTTCTTCGCAGGTCTGATAGAGCCCAGAGCATCTTCCCCATGTATCCCAGGGATAAAGATGACATTTTCCGTTCACACATTGCATTTCATCTGGAAGGCTCTCTCACACACAGTGTCACTGTCTGCCACCTTCTGCGTGGCAGCAGACAGTGAGAACAGTACCACTGCAGGGATTGGTCAGTGGGGAGAAGATCCTCAAGGCAGCCATAGGCTGGAAATAAACAGGGAGGGGGAAGGTAAAATCCATGTAGCTCTGCCTTTGCTGAGAAAATGGACAGCCAGGCCAATGGCAACCACCCTGGCATCTAAGTAGGACTCTATCCTTGTGGAGCCAGGGGTTTGGCCGTGAACTGTCTTCCTAATTAGGTGTCTTTAAGCAAATCACCTAATCCCTTTGAGACACAGTTTTTGCATCAGTCTTATGTAGACCAGGCTGAGCTAGGTATGTAGCTAAAGGTATGCTGACTTCCTGATAATCCCACGTCTACCTCCCAACATCTGCCATTATAGGTATTAGCCACCACTCCCAGCTGGCTCCAATCCCTGGCAGGTATCTCTGTGGCCTACTGACTTATCATGTGTGTGCCCCTCAGTGGTACAGCTGGACCATGTGGGATTTCCAAAAGTTTTAGCTTTTGGATAACCCTCTACACACACTGACTTCCACAGTGGCTGGGTCAGCTTATACTACCAATATCAGCATGTAGGGACTTCTGTTCCCCAACATGTCACAGCATCCATTGTCATTTGTGCCTTTGGTGAAAACTGCAGAAGAATCTTGTAGCTAGAGTTTTTCTGGTCCTGCCTGGCCCACAGTCAGGACAAATCTCTCTAACCCGCCAGTCCCACAGCAGCTCAGACCCAACCAAGTAAGCACACAGAGACTTAGATTGCTTACAGACTGTATGGCTGTGGCAGGCTCCTTGCTAACTGTTCTTATATCTTAAATTAATCCATTTCTATAAATCTATACCTTGCCATGTGGCTCGTGCCTTACCGGCGTCTTCACACGCTGCTTGTCATGGTGGCGGCTGGCAGTGTCTCCCTTTCCCTTCCTGTTCCCTTAATTCTCCTCTCTGTTAGTCCCGCCTATACTTTCTGCCTGGCCACTGGCCAATCAGTGTTCTATTTTTTGACCAATCAGAGCAACAGATTTGACATACAGACCATCCCACAGCAGAATCTCTTGTTAAAAGTTTTTTTCTTTTCTTTTATTTGTGTGTGTATATGTGCTAAGTGTGCATGCTGTGGTGCATGTGTACTGTATATGTTCTCTGTATGCGTTATGTGTGTGTGTGTGTGTGTGTGTGTATGTGTGCTATGTACGTGCTGTGTGTGTGCATGCTTTTCAGTTTTTAATGGGAAAAACATGGAGGCAGAAGCAGGTCTTCTCAACCTGTGGCTCAACATCTGCCTGCCTAAGAATTGCTTGAGAGTCTCAGTAAAAAGGGCCCGGAACCCTCTCCCAGAACTTTTGAATCCATCTGCGGAGGATAGCCTAGAGATTCAGGTTTCTGTCGATCTTTCTGATGACTCTAATGTAGTGGGTGAATGACCTCAGGAACAAGTTAGAAAAACTAACTGTGTGGGTTTACAAAGTAAGCTGTAGGCTCAATGCTGATAAAAACAAACTTATAAAAAGAAATAATAATTTCATATATGTGTTGTATGTGCTGAGTGTGCCTAAGCTATGGGGTTTTGGTAAGCTGTCTCCAGTGTCTAGTATTTCTGTCATAACATAGCCAATTGGCTTTGACAAGCATCTTAGCCTTTTTTTTTTTTTTTTTTTTTTTGGGTGAGGGGGTATCCTTTTCTCTTCTTTACCTACGTGGTTATCACTTCCATCAAAATAGACATCCTTGTGGTCTACCCACAGAAAGGAAAGACATTTTCATCCAATGACCCAAATTATAATGTCCCCATTGAGTGAGAGAGAATATCTGGTGCCCGGATAGCATGGCTCTAACACAAACACTGTATAGACCGTCATCCTCAAATTTCAATTTGTAGATGGTGAAAGTACAGATTACAGGGTCCTGCCTGAGAAAACGACAATGGCCTTGGCCTTTCCTGTTTCTGGTAACCCATACCATGGAGTTCAAGTGAAACTTTGGATTTAGTTGCCAAGATACTGTCTTTCCAGACTGCATGAACTCAACAAGCTCTCCCAGGCCCAACTAACTTGTCTTCACCAACCATTAACCCTGCTGTAGTTTTTCCAGCAACTCTGCCTCTCAGGCTTTCGGGTGTCGCTTGGCTTCCAAGGCAAATGCAACCCAGAGACATGCTAAGGATCTCCCTTAGGGTTGACTCTCCATGTGGGCGACTTGGACACAGTACCAAGATTGTTCCATTCTGATTGCTTAGAGACTCCAAGCTCCCCACCTTTTATTAGCACCCTTTTATGACATTATAAACATGGTTCTCATACAATACAATCTGGATACAGTTTCCCTTCTTTCTACCTTTCCCAGTTGCTCTCCACCTCCTCTCCCATACAGCTCCACCTCCTTTCTGTCGCTCATTAGGAAAGAACAGGATTCTAAGAGATAAGAACAAAGTATGGCAAAATAAATTATAATAAACAAAACCATCATACACACACATATGCATATACACCTGTGCATACACATTTACTCCCACACATTACATACATGCACACAATTGAAGTTAGACAACACAAGCCAACAGAAAAAAGAGCCCAAGAGGAGATACAAGAATCAGAGACTCACTCGTTCACACACTCAGGAGTCCCATAAAAATAGTAAACTGAAAGCTGTAGTATGTATGCAGAGGACCTGGTATACATGTTGCTCAGTCTCTGTGAGTTCATATGAGCTTTTCTCATTTGTTTCAGAGGGACTTCTCCTGGTGTTCTCTGTCCCCTTGGTCTTCCCCATGCCTCTGCTTCTTCTGCGGGTTTGATGAGCTCTGAGGGGAGGGATTTGATGGAGACACCTTGTTTAAAGATGTGTTTTCCAAGGTCTGTCTCTCTTTCTCTGAAATGTCTGGCTGTGGGTCTTTATATTTGTTCCCATCTGCTGTAAGAGGAAGCCTCTCTGATGATGGCTATACAAGGCATCCATGTATGACTATAGCAGAATATCATTGGGAGTCATTTTATTGATACCTTTTTTTTTTTT